CTTTGCACACAAAACTGCTTTTTTTGTGTGTAAGTGTTTACCTAAGTAACGCTCACAAGTTTACAGAAGGTCTGCTTTGCGTATTTGGAGGTTTGGTTTCCGCGCGTAATGATCCGCTACTTTCCATGTTCAGATGGGGGAAAGTTGGCTGGTGTGGTGAAAGTAAAACTTACCTGGACCTGATGGAGGGGGGAAATAGATGCATTCAGAGAAAAATCAGGAACCGGAAATGTAACAGGGGGGTGAAAAACTGTCACATTTCTGATTGGAAACCCAGCCCCACCCTCTTGTTGTCATGAGAGGAAAAAGTATCATTCAGGTTTATCTCATTTTTACGCAATGAAATACTTTGTCTAAATGACATTTTCCCACCCTCATTCCAGCAGATTACTTTTTCTAAAAGTGGATGACTGTTGGGCTTTTTTGGGCATTGTGTTACAGTATAATATAAAGCATTAATTAGTCTTTATTTGCTTGACATGCTCCCAACGCGCAGCACAGAAGCGCAGTCTTGTTGCCATAATTAAAGTCTGTCAGAAGTTACACGGAGTAAACTGGGCGGCATATGGACTCCTTCAATGTAAAGTGATGCCTTATTATTTTCACGTGGCTGCACGAATCAGAGCAAGTGACGCGGAATAACACAAGTGGAAAAGGCAGTTGGTTTTAGCCTTTGAGCAAGGCAGGTCCGGCACCAGCTGCTCGGCCATGATGGCATTTTAGTCTAAAAATAAAAAGGAAATTCCTTAATTTTAGAGAAAACAAAACTTCAAGTAATGTGGTTACTCTAAAATGTATATTTTTGCACAAATTTGTTTTAAACAGAAGGTTTCACTTTTTTGAAGGCTTAAAAATATTTAAAATATTGCTTTCATCTCTTTTTTATTCTAGTGATATTTTTAAGTTTCCAAATTAAATTTTAAAATGTTTTAAAAKATCACCTGTTATTTTAGACAGGATTATCATCTGGTGTTATTTGTTTTATTTAATATTTGTTTTATTTAAAAACGCGCGTTTTCTGGATAAATAAAACGTTACTAGTTAAATAATATTCTTTAACATGTAGCAAAATGCCACGGGCGACCGTGAAATTAAAACTAATATTTAAGATGTATTTTTTTTAGTCCAACAAACCGTGGGCCTTTGCATGAGTCCCTGCAGGAATTATAATTTTATTCAGTATTGATTGGCGCCGTGCCTTTTCCAAGGCCTGGGCTTCAACATGAGCCGGGAAACGCGCAGCCTCCAACGCTGCGATTTATATTTTAACACAAACAGATGAGGAAAGAATATTACAATCGTTTAATATTTTAATTAAGTAAAAACCCGGCTCCTGGAGAGGTTTAATTTTATGGGACACATGAGGCGTTATTTTGCAAATAAATATAATTGCAAAAAAAACATATTTATAGAAATACTTATTTTTATTGTGAATGTGAATCCAGTGAATTCAAATRCAAAAACGGTGAGAGCAGCGTTTAAGTGTCTTTGAAGGTTAATCCGGTTTAGGGATGTATAATGCGCCCTTATTCTAATGAACACACAAAGAGAAAGAGACCCAGCTCAAGTTGGCTCATTTATAAAAGTTTGGATCAACCGGAAACCATTTAGCAACACACTTCTCCTCTAAATAAGACCTAATTGTGGTCGTGGACACACAAAGGGGTTGTCGTTTGGCAGAGCTGCTGAAATATTGATCCGCGGTTCTTACACAGTTTCACCTGAATGATGCCTCTCTGATTAACAATCATGATGAAATCTGTAATTAATTGTGGCCTTGTTTTAACAACCATCCCCTCATTGCTGAATGCTGACAACTATTTTCTCTTCTTTTTTTTTTCCCAAAACTTCGACTTGGAAGCGAAACAACAGTGGGAGCGTTTGCGCACCAGACCACATATGGATCTACTTGTTGGGTCTTTGTTTGGCACTAATTGAAGTGAATTCCAATTGAAATGTATTCCTCCTCTCTTCCTCCACCACCTTTCAGCAGTGCTTAAAGAGAGGGGAGGGGGYAAAAACGTGTCTCTTATATTCTGCGTAAAGCAAATGTCACAGGCGCATAAAGACGGGCCCATCACGGCACAATGGCCACAGAGAGCCCGACACACACATACACACACACACACACACACACACACAC